CAAAATAATAATAATTGTGTAATAGGTTCTTGGTAGGACAACTTTTAAAAAGTTTTTCTTTCCTTCCTTCCTTCCTTCCTTCCTTCCTTCCTTTCCTTCCTTCCTTCCTTCCTTCCTTCCTTCTTTCTTTCTTTCTTTCTTTCTTTCTTTCTTTCTTTCTTTCTTTCTTTCTTTCTATGTAACTTGTTTTAATTCATGTTGTGAGCCGCCATGGATCCCATGTCGGGAGGAGACTGGGCTATAAAATAAAAATAACTTATTAAAAGTAGGCAGGGAAGGAGGGGAAATGTGATGATCATGGTCCCTACTGAGATGTTATGGAGGAAGAAGGGTCAGTAGGCAATCCCATCAGGGAGCCACTTCCTTAGACTAAAATAAACTTTCATCCTGAAGAGCTTGGCTGGGCATGGACTACTGAATGCCAGCTATTACTAGCCACGATGGTTGGAGATCCATTTGTGCAACCAAGGACACAACAGCAAGCTTTGCTGCCAGTGTGCAGAGCAAGGAAGACCTGCAATTGCCTGGCACTACAGGGCTGGCACTAAATCTGTGTCCTAAACCTATATTTGTTCTCTTCCTGCTGTCAAGTTCAGAGGCCAAAACGTGGACCACTTTCCCTGATGGCCACCGTTAAAAGTAGTTCAGTTCCTTTTAGTTACAATCCAGAATACTCATGAAAACTTCAGGTTCTTGCCCTCGTATGATACAAACCTCAGTAGCAGGTAGTAAGTAAAACATGCCGAATTATTCTAGTATTATTAGAACATGTGATCGAAGCATATCATATTATTAAAGCAGAGCTGGAAGGTCGCTTCTTTGACATGAACCACACTCGAGTATTTAGACAAGTATTATAAATAATTCCATTTGTACTGGTACTATTTCTAGACTCTTTTTTTTTTGGGCGATTTTTAATTGTGTTTATATTGTTTTATTTAATATAGAAAGTATATACAACTTTCCCTCTTTTTCCACGCAGATAGATGGATATAATATGTATAGAGATTTTGTGGCATCTTTGAGACCAAGTGGGAAAAAAGAAGAATTTTGTAGCATGATAGATAGATAGTTTCTTGTTTAGATACTGGGGGGGG